AGTGCCGGAGGAAGCCAAAAGAAGGCTTGGGATCCCATGGAACTGGAGTTTACAGGTTATGAACCACTGTGTAGATGCTGGGAACTGAACTTTGGTGCTATCCACACTTTGATTTCTCAATAGTTTTCTCTCTGGGGTGGTTAGACATTTATTCACAGCTCTGCATGAACACACACACACACACACACACACACACACACACACACACGTGAACATGTATGCTCAGGCAGGTGGAGGCCAGGGGACAACCTCAGGGATGTTGGAGCTGTCTGTTCATTTTAAAGCAGGATCTCTCCGTGGTTTGGAGATTGCTAACGAGGTTGACTGGCCAGAGAGCCCAGGGATCCTCCTGTGTCCACCACCCCAGCACTGGGATTACAAGTATGCAACATCCATTCTTAAAAACATCAGTTCTGGGGATTGAACCCATGTCTCTGGGCTTGCACAGTGAAGTATTCCCTTGGCATACTTTTTGTGGAACACAACACAGAACAGGGAGGAATTAAGATGGGAAGAATAAGGGAACCATGAGGTTTCTCCTGTAAACCAAAGCACTTGAGGACAAAGGATGGGTGAACCAGCCTGTTTGTGGCTTGGGGTACTGATAGAAGACTTTCCCTGCCCCCTGATGCCTGTGATAGTCTGTGATCATGAGTACTGGGCACAAGGGAAGAAATATGGAAGGAAAGAAGGAAGGAGAGGAGGGAGGGAGAGAGGAAGGGAGGGAGACACACAGGAAGGAAGGAAGGGAGGGAAGAAGGAAGGAAGGGAGAAGAAATTAATCTCCAAGAATTCCCTCTCTACCCCATGTCCCTGGGAGGATGAAATATGGCTTACTCCATACTGGTGGACAGAAATCATTGCCAAGAGTGAAGGGCTCCTGCTCTGGAGAGAGATGGCTGGGACCCCAGAGAGAGGGTACTGCCCTTTACATAGAACCCACAGCATTCTGCTCATTGTGAAGGAATGGAAGTAACTGTAATGTCTGTGGCTGCGAAAACATTTGTCAAATGCCAACAGCCCCAGGAGCCAAATTATGGTATTTTTCCCATAGCAGAGTCAGAGTCTATGAGAAAGTCCATGGAATGTTTGACATACTTCCTTAGCTATCTTCGGGAAAATGGAGTTGGCTCAGCCTGGAATAATGCTCAGATTTACTTCGATGAGAAATGGGATCCATTTACCACATCCACTTTAGTCATCTTACGCATGCTTAAAAAGTATGGAGAGATAATTCGAGGCCAGTTGGTGGTTCTTTAAGCAGGTTTATGGTCTAGAAAGCATTTCTGGTGATTACAGATAAATCCCAGCACGGAGCACATATGAAATTTCATCTCTGGTACCCACTACACCAGCAGCATCACTTAAAGGAAAAGTGTGGCCCAGCTGTACAGGAATGCAAAGAGAACTGCACATTTAAGATGTCTTCCTCGCCGAGGGATGTGGGGAGACCTACATCACATGCTCCTCTCAGCTTAAAACTTTTCTAGTCTACACAATGACTTGTGGGAAAGAATTTTCTACAGTCCCTCAATTCTGATGGGGAAGACTGGGAGTTTCAGATCCAAAGGCCCAAGTTTGTGGGAGATTCTGTTACTAACCCAGTAGTCCTGAGTTAACTTATTTGGCTTATAGCTAAAACAGAGGCCATAAAGACAGTGACTAATTCTGAGCGGTGGTGGCACACGCCTTTAATCCCAGTACTCTGGAGGCAGAGGTAGTCGAATCTCTATGAGTATGAGGCCAGGCTGGTCTACAGGATGAGTTTTAGGACAGCCAGGGCTACACAAAGAAACCTTGTCTCAGAAAAACCAAACAATAGCAACAACAAAAATGGTAACTATCAACAGTCTCGTTGCGATGGGGGGTGGGGGGGGGTGAGGGGAAGCTCACTTCATGATAAGTCAAGAAATGTAGTGTAGATGGAATAAGCTGTTCAGTGTCATTTCTAGACTCTACCCATGTGTGCTCAGAACATTACCCAGAGTACAAACCTACTGTCAACAGAAAGAAGAAACAACCAAAGTCTTTCTAGGAAGTGGAACCCAGGTTCAAAATACTCTGGGAATGATCTGCTACACCCCAAGAGTGTGCCCACAGGAAGAAGGTTGGGCCAGGCCCATGAATCAAAGAATTTAACAATAACTTGGTTTTGTGTAAATTGAAGGAAATAGACACATAATGAGTAATTGGTAACTTAAAAAAATTAACAGTGACCTTGAATACACTCCCGTTTCCTGAAGTTACAGTGACCTCCTGGTAAGTTTTTACAAGCTCTATCCTCACCTCCTACCTCTCTTCTCTCATCAGCAACCCTTCCAATCTGGCATGCTTTGGACAAAACACAGCACCTCCCTTTCAGGGGTCTTCCTTTATCCTAGTCAACAGGGAGGGGACTGGGGATGTAACCCGATTGGTAAAACAGTTGCCTTGGCAGTAGGAAGCCCTGGGCTCGATCATCATTGCATAAAAACCTGCACAAGTCCGTGATCACAGCCCTAGGAGCTGCAGGCAGCAGCACCAAGGTTGCCTTTAGCAAGTGTTAGGCTAGCTTGAGCTGCAGGAGGCTATCAAAGCCAAACAGGGGCTGGAGTGATGGCTCTCCTGCTGTGATGAGCCACAGGCAGCTTGGCTTCCAAGAGTCCTGTACAGGCAAATTTGGTGCACAGGCAAAACACCCATACAGATGGAATTCAAACAAAACAGCAACAACAACACGAAACCCTGTACACCCACCCAGCCCTTCAGCCCACCCTCCTCTTTGTTCTCTTCTTCTCCAGGACCAACACCTTCTAATGCACCAAATGCCTCATTATGTGGTTTTCTTTTTTTTTTTTTCCACAAGTAAGAGGATTAACTGTTTTCTCTGCTACTGTGTCCCAGGTGCTCCTTTAGAGCCACGCCTGGTTTCTGGCAGTACTCGATGTTTGGGGAATGAGTGACTATCAGTGAATTCAGACTCAGTTTATAGGCTGGGCTGGCCGGGCTCCAATGGAGATCTCTCCAGCACAGCCCTTGCTGGGCGTCTGAATCTGGGGAGGCATTTCACACAATTCTTTCAGTGACTGTGACGGGCTTTGTTTGCTGAGCTGCCATCATCAGATTACCTACATAGTGTAATGTCAGAAGGGAGAGTAACAGAGCTCTTGGTATTGCTGTAAACCGAAGCCTGTTGGTTTTATACTTGACAAAATGAAAGTACTAGGTTGCTTAAGATTTTTATTTCCTTTTTGTTAGTTTGGCATCACTAGCTTACATTTTATGATTGAATATATTTTGATAAAAAGCTTTGCTTTCCTACCAAAACGTTTTATTTTATTAATGGCTCCGTGGGTTATCGTTTCTTCCCACTTTCTTACATTTTCTTCAATAATCTGATATTGCTTAAAAAACAAAACAAACAAAAAACCTTTCTACAAATCTATGAAATCTACACAGCTCCTCGAAAGGCAGAGGAACCATTTTAGAGTTGTGTCCTTACATTCTTATCTCTTGTTGGGGGCAGGGGAGAGCCAATTGCTTGGGCAAAGGACGATCCCAGTGAAATGTGAGAAGGATTTGGGATTAGGCAAGATTATCAGATGAGTGGCTATTCTCAAAAACCTCAGTAAATTTGACTTTGCAATCCAGGCTGACAAGGGACAATGGGCTTCTGAGAGGCATCTGTGGTACGTGCATTGCTCTCTTTTGATGCGGAGGTCACTTTAGCTGAAAAGCAGATAGCACAGCCACAGCTGCTTATGAGGTGTTCAGGACCAGTCCTTCCAGTGAGATTATGGAAACTGTTCCATGCACACTGCAAAAGACTGGGCAGACATTTGGGATCAGTGTTCTAGACTAGCTGGCCCTGAAATTCTCTGAAGGGAAAATATTTGCACGTTACAATGAATTGTGTGGCTCGGAAAAATCTCCACCTTTCTCACACCCTCAGGAGCAGTAGTTCTCAACCTGTGAGTCGCGATCCCCTTAGTGTCAAGTGACCCTTTTACATGGGTCACCCAAGAACCTTGGGAAACACAGGTGTTTACGTTACAATTCATAACAGTAGCAAAATTATAGTTGTGAAGTAGCAATGAAAATAATTTTGTGGTCGGTGGTCACCACAACATGAGGAATTGATAATAAGGGTCCCAGTATTAAGAAGGTTGAGAACCCCTGCTCTATAGCATTGGAAACCCTTTGCCCTTGCTTGCCTCATAGCTACTCAGAAGCTTAAATGGACATGGAGAAAAAAGCATGGTGTGTGTTTAAGCCTGATTTGATCAGGTCTCCTGGAGTCTAAGGTACCATGAACACATCTTCCTATGAGACTCATGATATAATAAAAAAACCCTTACCTTCGGTAAGCTAGCAAGATTATTATTATTATTATTTGTTTTGGTTTTTTTTTTTTTTTTTTTTTTTTCGAGACAGGGTTTCTCTGTGGCTTTGGAGGCTGTCCTGGAACTAGCTCTTTTAGACCAGGCTGGCCTCGAACTCACGGAGATCCGCCTGCCTCTGCCTCCTGAGTGCTGGGACTAAAGGTGTGCATCACCACCGCTTGGCTTCTACTTTACTTTTTTAAAGTTACCAAATCAGAAACATGTATTCTGGTGGAAAACCCACATCTCCTTCTGCAAAGGGTCAGACAATACGTTCCTGAAAATTCTGCACTGCTTTGTGTAATTCATACATTTTTTTTTTTTAATTTCAAAATATGTAGGGCACAAATTCGGAATGTCAAAAATCTTTAATGTAATTGTGAATGTAGCTGGGAATGTTTATGTAAATTATTTTGAAATCAACTCCATGGCTTTTCAAAGGGTAGTTTGTTTAGCCCACAAGAGAAGACGGTAGCAGTAGGCTTATTTTTAAGAAGTGTTTTTTTCCCTTCTTACTTTAAGATGGATGGAGTGCTGGGGTCCCCTCTGCCTGGCAGTGTCAAGTGAAATACGACCCAGGCAGCCCTTGTCAAGAGGTCAAGGAAGGTAGGTTTTTTAATACTGTCAACACGCCAAAAATCCATATACAAAACCTTTTAATGATTATTCATGTAAGTATATTTATAGAGACAGAAAACAACCCCACGTTTTCTTTCAAGCAAAACACAGTAGGACAACTAATGGCAAAGCCTTAGTAACAAGAGCTGGCGGAGCATTAAGTAAGACCGCATCGCCCCCTGGAGGACCCAGGTGGAACTACGGAGCACTAACCAAAGAAAAGAGAGGGCCCTCCTGTCATGGTTCTGAACTCGTATTTCAAGCTTCCAGTAGATGACTTGCACATTGCTATTAGAAAGACTTAGAAATTGAAATTATAACTCTGACATCTTTAAGAACTTTAAAACTAGTTCATTAGAATTGGGTGTGGTGTGGGCGCAGCCTGCATTCCCAGCTCCTTGGCTGACTGAGTTGGGAGAACCAGGGAGTTCCAGGCCAGCCTAGGAAACACAGTGAGACCAATCTCAAACACAAAACAAAACAAAACACCACAAACCAGAAACAGCTACAAAAACAACCTTCACCAGCAAAGAAATACCAGGACTCTGAAAAGAGAAACAGGCACCCCCAAATGTATCCGTCTTCTCGAATTCATCAGGGCCTTATATATATCTAAAGGATTTTACTCATGACAAAATACAAACGACTGACAGTTGTTTATCAGAGGCATTTACATGTTAATGGGTTGAAAGTTTTAGTGAAGAGGGAAGTATCGACAACTAAAATTTCTAGTATTGAAGAGCAAGATAACCATCTCATACTATCTTTCACACTATACTGATTGGGGGGGGGCTGCAACCTCACTGTAAATCGATAGGCATCCATACGCCTCTCTACAATCCTTAGTTGTTACTTTTAAACTACTCAGGCCTTTTCCACATTGAAAGATTCATTTTAATGGCTGTTCAAAAATGAGTTGGAAGAGTTAAGAACCACCCATATTTATATTATTCTAACGGGGAGATCACTGTTGCCCCACCTCAATGCCTCCCAAACATCTATTAAGCATACATTTCCCTGGCCTGGGATGTAGGTCAGTGGAGGAAGTCTTGGTTACGATGTTGGAGGTCTTGGGTTCAAGTCCCAACACCACAGAAATCACTTTTTTCTTATCTACGTCCAAATCACCTTAGCAATATTTGTATAATTAAACCCAAAACTGAATGCCACTGTCTCACTTTTTATACATATGGTGTCACGGGCCCACCAGTGACAGGGTGCAGCTCGGCACTGGCCTGCAGGTGCACGAAGAGCACCAGATCTCTATTCACAGGGCGTTAGTCCTGCCACTTGGGAGGCAGAGGTAGGTTTATTTCTAGAGTTCAAGGCCATTCTGGTCTGCATAATTATTTCCAGGTCAGCCAGAGCTATAGAGCGAGATCTTATCTCAAAAAAAAGAAGAAGAGCTGGGTGGCTGTGGTGCACGCCTTTAATCCCAGCAGCGGGAAGTTAGAGACAGGCGGATCTCTGTGAGTTCGAGGCTGGCCTGGTCTACTGATGGAGTCCAAGGGCAGTCTCCAAAGCTACAGAGAAAGTCTGTCTCAAAAAGGAGGAGGAGGAGAAGAAGAAAAGGACAAACCCTTTGTTCATAAACAACCACCACAGTTACAGTCAAGAACAACCCCCTCCTTCCCTCTCTCACCGCCTTTGAATCCATAACAGTGAGAAGTTCTAACACTTTCCGGTTCCCATTTTAAACAGACCCTTTTCTTGTATCATTTACCCGACCTCCCTGCCCTGACCCCCGGCCATCATCTTTTGCTCAGTTCAAACCAATTCACTTTTGCTAACATTCCTTGTCATGAACTTAGCCTAGACAACCAGAAGCTTATGTAGACACTCGGCTAGCATAGCAGTTCAGATTCTCAAGCCCATCCAGTAAAACGATGCAGCAGACACATCCTTTCTTGCTTTAAAGGTGGTAGGGAAGTTTCCGTTAACAAGTCACTCTAGCTTTCTGTGGTTCTTCATTTTTTCTTGCCTCAATAATCCAAAACATGAAATTCCACGGAGGCATATATTAAATAAAATGTTTAGACATTCCCATGTATAAGGCACAAAACTCACAATTGTCTTACAGAAAGACTAACACACACACAGAGAGAGAGAGAGAGAGAGAGAGAGAGAGCAAAGGATTAAAGACTTAGCAATAACCTAATAGAGGAGGTGAGGCGCTTCATCACACCGGAGCTGAAACAGATCACTCCCTTTTTAGTACGAAGGGACCTTATACTGATAGGAAATGCAGCCTGTGAGAAGAGGGCATCTCAGCGCTTCCTGGACCACAGCCTCCTTCACTGGATTAATGTAGAAATCAGTCCTCAGAGAGAGCTGAGTGGCCAGAATGTATCGGCCGCAAGCACCACCCATCTCACAGCGGCTGCCGGCAGCAATGTTACAAACAGTGCATTTGGCCATCAGGTGCCTCACTCTTACTCAAAGGACCATCAGGGGCCAATCACAGGGAGCACCCATTTACCTGTCCTAGGACCTGTTCTAAGGTTTCTTCTCCAACCTGAGGCAGAACTGCCAGTTTGAGGACCCCGGATTGGGGTAGCCCTGTTGGTCCTTCATGGGACAGCATCTAACAGAAATGTGAACCTTGGGTCTTAGGTTACTCTTGAAATCATCAGATCCCTCGAGCAACTTTAGAGCCAAGCTTTTTAAAAGAGTCTGTGCAAACCTTCAGCTAATTCCCTGGCCTGCAAGATGACCCTAAATAGCTCACAGTTAATACTGCCCTGCACACATACAAACTAAAAGGTCCCCATGGGTAACAGATAGACAAGTGTATCCATGTTTGCTGGCTGGGTCTCCTGGTAGCTCTTGGCACTGTTGGATTTTCTGATGTTTCTGTATAACAGCAGAATCAGCTTCCTGAAAGTTCATATGGCTCCAAGCATTTCCTGGAAGTGTGATAGCTTCGGAATTCTTTATATTACCATGCAGACTCGGGATGGGAACATTTCTTCAGGCAAATCAGCCGGCTCGTTGGCCAGTGGATGAGACCATGTATCTGATAAATTGAATAGTCCATTCTGTCTAAGGGTTTCAATGGATCTTCTTGAAAATTCTGACTTTTCCACCCTAGACACTCTGAAATCCTGTCAGCACAGAGTCCATGGATCAGTTTCCCCAGTTACCAAGACCAGTAGTACAGGGTGGATGTTCCTAAACATCCACCGTTCACTTGGCAGTCCAGTTTGATTATCTGTCCAGTTCAGGACTCAGCTTTGGAAGCCACAACCAGAATTCTGGTAAGTGTTCCTGGGTGAGAATGGTTTCTTTAGTTTGGAATCCCATGCATCGTGGCCAGGATCCTTTCCCATGAAAGGCTACAACCCAGACAGAAAATGAGTATTTCTTTTAAAAACTCTCAAATGCCTTGCATTTGAAATTTTATAGACATATGCCCTTGAAAATATGTAATAATTTTTTTTTTTAAAGATAAGATATCATGTATCAAAGACTAGCCTTGGACTCACTATGCATCGTAGAATCACCTAGAAACTTCTGATCTTCCTGCCTCCTTAAGAGCTGCTGCTGTTCTGTGCAGTGCTGGGGATCGAACCCTGGGCTTCCTGTATGCTATGTAAGCACTCTCCACCAATCAAGTTTCATCCCCAGCCTGTAATACATATTAATTTAAAAAAAATCAAACCTTAAAAATAAAACAAAAAAAATCAATTTCTATTATTGCGTCAAGTTTTCTCCAAATCACAGTAGCACATCTCTACATCTTTCCTCGTTTGTAGACCTCAGGAATCTTTCTTAATCAGTCTGGCCTTGACTTTGTGTCTCAGGAGGGAGGCCGTGGCTGCGCTGCAGGCAGCTAAAAAGAAAAAGGAGAGGCAGGCGGTGTAGATGGACAGGGGGCTGTGGCGCTGCAGGAAGATCTCGTGGCGTCCCTGGTAGTCTAGAAGAATGGCTTCCAGCTGGGAGAGCGTGCAGATGGACAGGAAGGCGTGGAAGATTTGATGTCCGTGGCCCACAATGTCACAGGAACCGGGGAAGTATTTCTCAGGTACCGGGCAGGAGAAGAAGTAGGCGCTAACAAGAAAGAAGAGGATCTGGAGAGTGTGGTACCAGGCCGCCTGCTCTTGGCAGCCAGCCAGATGACAGAGAGCCACACGGTGGGCCACAGGGCTGATGTCTAGGATGAAGGCCAGCCCTGCGGGTACCACTTGACAGATCTTCCGCATAACTGGATAAGGCCTTCGGTAGCGATACTTGGCATAGCAACAACCAGCACAGGATAGCCAACCACAGAAAGCAGCCGCTGGCAGGAAGAAAAGCCAGAAGCGCTCGTACCAGGCCTGGTCCGAGCTGTAGAAAAAGTGAGCCAACGCACTGCCATACTGGTAGACGCTGACCCCGACGTAGTCCACAAAGTAAAAGGTGTAGTGGGACAGCTCTGACTTGGACTGCAGCAGGTGGGCCAAGAGGCTGCAGGTGAGGTAAGTGATTGACGACAGGATGAAGAGGAGCAGGGGCAGGGTGTGGGGAGAGGCCCACTGCAAAGCTCCAGCCTCTGCAAAAGCCCAGAACCGCAGCAGGACCGCTAGGGCGGCCAGCAAGTGGGTCCAGACGTTGACCACCTCGTTGTGCTTCTGAAAGAGACTGAAGAAGTAGTAACGCCACTCGTGCCCCGTGGGGCGGTAGCCTGCGTGGATGTAAGGCTCCCTGAAGAGCTGAGGCACATCGGTTTCTGGGACGGTGCAGGGCATCTTGGGAAGCCCTTCTTCCAGAATCTTGGGCAGACGGCGCAGCTGCTGCCCGCTCACGGACAGGGTGCTCAGGCGTTCCAGGATGGCGGTCGTCATGGCAGCAGTGTCCTGGGGCTCCACAGGACTCAGAAGAACAACCTGCAGGGAAAGAGAGGAAGGCTGAGAAACGGACAGGTTGAAATAAAAGAATACATTTTAGCTGGGCATGGTGGCACATGCCTTTAATCCCAGTACTCTGAAGACTGAGGCAGGAGGCTGTCAGTTGGAGGCCAGTCTGCACTCCTCAGTGAGTTCAAGACCCACCCTGTGCTGTATTACAATGCTTATTGATAGATAGATAGATAGATAGATAGACAGACAAATGACTGAAACTCAAATTAAAGGCAGATCATTTGTGAATGAGATTGGAAAGAGCAGTGCACACCGCGGGAAGTCTTATCAGCGTGAAGCCACCATGGCTTGAAAACAGGCATGTTGGGTATGTTGGCTAATTCATTAACAAAAGTCTCGTTCTAGGCTCAGTACTGCCATGCTCCCATCAAGCCTATCAGTCCCGGAAGCCCAGGCACATGGAGCCCTCTGCTGGCTGACGGTGGAAACGCAGCTTTCTTGTTTTTAGATGTATTTATTCTGCTGATCATTTGCTTTATTTGGTTTTTATGTGCATGCGCTTGTGTGTGTGTGTGTGTGTGTGTGTGTGTGTGTGTGTGTGTGTGTGTGTGTGTGTGTGTGTGTGTGTGTGTGTGTGTGTGTGTGTGTGTGTGTGTGTGCATGCGCGCATTTGGGTGTCCTGGCATTTGTATAGAAGTCAGAGGATAATTTTCGGAGTTCTTCCATCACGAGGGGTCCAAGGGTCAAGTCCATGTTGTCAGGTTTGAAACGAGGTGCCTTTACTCGCTAACCCACCTCAGCAGCCCCTCTAATGATCATTTTCTTAGTTCCACACTCTCCTTGGGAACAACGCTGTAATACTTTTTTTTCCTTCAATGCCTATGTCAAGCCTTCATTCAACAGAGGAATTAAAAACATGGCCTAACTATAATTAAAGTCCAATTGCAAAGATGGCTCTATTTTTCTTCAGATGGCACTCAAGAAAGCAAAAGGCCTGGGATTTGCCTCTCCCGGGCAACCACATCCCTGTATGATGAGTTTCGGACCTCTAAAATGCTTGCTTTATAATTAGAATCTCTAGGTGGCGATAGACAGATGCCCACAAGATTTACTTCATACAACTGATAAATTTTCATGCATACTCACTGAGTAAATTATGTTTTAATACACAGATGCTTTTTGTGTTTTTTTATTTTCTAAGATTTTTTTCTGAAGGAAGTTAAATTCTTGTTTTATCTAAATGACCCCCTTCCTCCAAAGGGCTTCAACTAGAGGGGATACAAGTGCTGCTCAGGAAATAGAGTCTCTCAACTTCATTTTTTTTTCTCCCTTTGAATTTTACAGACAGGGTTTCTAGAGATCCGCCTGCCTCTGCCTCCCGAGTGCTGGAATTAAAGGTGTGTGCCATCATTGTCTGGTTCACACCACTACTGCCAGCTCACTTCCCATTTCTTTTTTCTTTTTCTTTCTTTTTTTTTATGATTCCTTTTTATTTTTTATGTGCATTGGTGTCTTGTTAGCATGTATGTCTGTCTGTATGCAGGCATTGGAAGCTCTGGAACAGGAGTTAACAGACAGTTGTGAGCTTCCATGTGTGTCTGGGAATTGAATTGGGGTCCTCTGGAAGAGCAGCCAGTGCTCTTAACCTCTGAGCCATCTCTCCAGCCTAACTTCACATTTCTTAATGCTGAAAGGAAAAAACATCCAATCAGGTTAAAAGCGTCAGGAATGGAAAGAAGGCACTGTGAAAGAAGTCTGGCTTTTAATCCCAGCCCTCAGGAGGCAGAGGCAGGAGGATCTCTGTGAGTCTGAGGCCAGCATCATCTACACGGTGAGTTCTAGGACTCTCAGGACAACATAGAGAAACCCTGTCATGAAAACAAACAGAAACCTGAGCCAAACAAACAAATAAAAGGACAGGAAAGAGGTGAAGGAAGTTTGGGAAAACCTAGATCCACGTTGCTGCTTCTAGAATGGCCAGCTAGATTTTACAGGTCTCAGTCTCAGCCTCTTCACATATTGTCTGGCTTGGGATAATGATCAGAAAATGCTAGGTAGTTCTGGCCTAGGCCCTATGCCAGGTACTAAGTGTTAGGTACTAAGTACTAGGTAGCAGGGGTACAATGACCAAAAAGGTAGTCTACTTGCCTTTGTAGAGATTAACGTCTGTAGTGTTACTGGGTAGAAAGATACATAGTAGGATTATGCTTCAGCTGAGGTGTGCAATGACCCTCAGGGTCTCTGCAAACAAGAGGGGTGGGCTGGGAGACAGGCTACTTGAAGTGCTTCAATCAGGACTTGAGGAATTTCTGGAAAACAACAAACACACTAAACTTCAGATGGAGAACACATTATTTACTTTGAAATGTTATTACATTTTACATGTGTATATGCTTTCTGTGTATTTTATTTAATGTGTTGCATGCATGTGTGTATGCATACCACACGCGTGCCTGGTGCCAATGGAGTTTCAGAAGGGCATGTGGCTCCCCTGGAATGGGAGTTAGAGACAGGTGTGAACCACCCTGTGGGAACCAGGAACTGAACGTGAGTCCTCTACAAGAGCATCAAGTGCTCTAACCGACCGACAAGCTATCTCTTCAACCTCTTCTTTTATTTTTGAGATGGGTTGCGTTCTGTAACCCAGGCTAGCACTTGAACACGTGAAACTCCTACTTCAGCCTTCCAAGTACGGGATGCCACCACGTCCTGCCACTCAAAGAACTTTTGTTTAGTCACAAACTAAGAAGACCCACTCTGTGAGTGAAGACCGTGTATGGAGTGGCACCTAGAGACCTGGAGCTCTGGTCTTGAGCACTGCTGTTCTCCAGTCCTGTGCCTCTAGCCTGCACTCTGTCTGTGAAAGAGTTAATGAGAAACTGTCTCTCATGCTGCCGTAGGGTCTCCAAGACACAGAGCCTATGATGTATTTTAACAAAATGTTTGGTTCTGAATCTAAAAGCTCATTTGCCATACTTATTGCCCCAGCTTACTTGAGACACAAGAGTGGTTTGTGAGCACCCTGTTCCTCTACCATAGCATCCATCAGCCCGTACTGAGACATTCACTCAGCCAGTGCCAAACCAGTAGTATCTCACCAGGAAAAGGCTCAGAACTAAGGCTCAACATGGGACTTGAAGGTACTAAGAAAGAAACAGCAAGGATTACAGAGTCAATCAGAAAGAGAAACAGAAAAAGACTCGTCTATAAAGGGAGCAGGAGCTAGTGGAGATCAGTGCCCGGGCTTCTGTCCTAGACTTAACGGACATCTATCTACAGGACTGAGCCTGGGAGATAGGATGACTTTTCAACATTACCCGCTGCTGTCAGCAACATCTTTTCTGGAGATGCTCGGCTCTGCTGTTCATACACAAGCTCCTGCTGTATCTCTTGTAAGGGAGGTAAGAAAATGAGATGAGGGGGCTGGAGAGATGGCTAGCGTTCAAGAGCTTTCTACTCTTTCAAGTACCTGAGTTGGCTCCCGGTCCCCACCTCAGGAAGCTCATAACTTCCTGTAACACCAGTTCTAGGGGATCTGGTGCCCTCTTCTGGCCTCTGTGACCCCCTGCATACATGCAGTACCCAGACATACACACCTGAGCATAAGTTAAAATAAATCTTTCAAAAAAGAAATGAAACGACTACCATTCCAGTTTATGGTTGGGAGAAGCTGAGGGTGTGAAGCTGTGCAAAAAGACACTTCCCAGTAGGCTTTATCTGGATGTCTTCAAGATAAGGACATCTCCATTGTGTTGAGATACTCAGATCAATCACGTACAGTTCTGTACCCAGAATTAAATGATACACTACGGCACAAATCTATCCTTATCTTCCTTTCCTTTGGAATAGGGTGTCTATTCAATGGTTCCTATGACCCAAAAGAATTCCTAAAGACTAAAACTCTATCTAGGGTCTGGTTAATGGATAGAATGAAGCATAATTCAGTTCTGGGAACTAATGGTTGTCTTTTTGCTCTGAGAGAGAAGATGGAGTGTGATGCTCTCCTCTTTTTCTTCTTCCTTCCTTCCTTCTTTTTTTTTTTCTGAGACAGGGTGCTCTGTGTAGCTTTGGAAGTGTCCTAGAACTAGCTCATGTAGATCAGGCTGGTCTTGAATTCACAGAGATCTGCCTGCCTCTGCCTCTAAGGGCTAGGATCAAAGGTGTGTGCCACCACCGCCCAGCTGACGCTGTCCTCTTGCTGATCTTCAAACAGCTGTGGCTGATGAGCCATTACAGTTCCTCCAGACTTCCTACTTCTCACGCCTTTCTTGACTGTATGTTGAATTTCTACTAAGACTGAGTTTTTCTACTTTGCTTTCACGGAAAACAAACTAGGAAGAGGTTTATAGAACTAAGAAGCAGAAAGGAGTACAATGGAAGGAATTTTTAGGTAATCACACATCTACATGAGTGCACCCACAAGTGTACACACACACACACACACACACATACACGCAAGCACACACAGCAGAATCACCATTCTCTTTGCACGTCAGACTTTGAATATCCTTCATAACACTGAGAGTGTTGTATAACCTGACACTGGTAATCCAGGAATATAATCATCGCTACCTCCAACCCAGAACATTCCTTATCTGGCCCATCAATTCTGGGATCCCAGGGATTGAGTCTTCTTTCTTAGGACAGGAAAGGCTTACATTTCCTTTGGGAGTTCAGGGGTATGAAATTTCAAACCTGCTAGAAAAACAGGCTTGAAATTTAGTAACTACCTCTTTACCTGATATAAAATTCTCCCTTTGAGAGTAACCAACAAAACCACAATCATATCAGGCCCCTAATGCTGTTTTGCTAAAAACCATTGACCCCTCATTTGAACCTATAAAAAAATGAATTGCAAGGTGAAAGCCTGTCATTGCTACCTTCATGTTAGATCTGTCATCTTTATTTTGGGACACTTTCCAGCCTGAGTCTCTACATGCACATTAATCACTCAGGTGTCTGAGTTAGTTCAAAGCAGGGATTGCTTGCCCCCCGAGGTTTCCATATATAAAGTGGCATATGA